TATATTATTTATTTATTCCATTATTTATTCCATTATTTATTTATTTATTTATTTATTTCACTGGACGTTATGTTGTTGAAAGTCTATATAATCACAAAAAAAAAAAACATAACACTTTAACAATATATATTATTATATTTCCCAGATAACAATGTATGGTTAATTTACCACACATTCCTTTTTTTATGCAGAATAAACAAACAAACAAAAACAATATAAATAAATAAGCAAACACCAGATATACACACACAAATACCGAGCTGAAATTTACTAAAATATCTCTGTCCCGAGAATACACAACCTTTCTAAATTCTTTCTAAACTTTATTATAGAATTTGCTTATGTTTTAATGCGTGCTTTTAATGTGCATTTCTTTTTGTTGTTGTTGTTGTTGTTGGTGTTGTTTTGTTTGTAACCCAACAGCCATTAGAAAAATAAGATGACATTGTAATTTTAGTTTGTAGAAAAACTCATGATAATGAGCAAATTTGAATAAGATGCTTGAAACGTTAAACTTTAAATATCTCATGGCAACTAGCCTCAGTCTCCCATATATGTAAATCAAAGAGACACAATTATACCCATGCACTCGCTGAAAACAATAAAAAAAAACTGCAAACTCTCTTCTCAGAGAAATAGACCTGTCTCACTCTCTCAAAGTCAGCAAAGGACAGAGGTCACAAAGAGCAGATTACTTGTGTTTTTAAAACTCTGGCCCAAAGTGATGTCCTCAGAGTTGGTTTAATATTTAAATACTTGCATGTATGTGTTATTGTATGTATTATTGCTGTTTTGTCTCAGTCAGATCCTTGGACAGAAATATTTTGTCTTTTGTTGTGCCAATCACTGCAGGATCTGTGGTATTTTTTTATTTTTTTTCGCCAGTAGATTTGCATTTAGACACGTGAGTCGGAGGGACTGCATTAAAGGCCATGCAGTAAGCATCTGTCTGTAAACCCAGCAGAGCACTCTACCAACACACGGCATCTGCTTTAGCTCTGCAAAAGATTTGCAATGTGTTTGCGGGCCCACATGTCACAGAGGACGCCGTTGCCTGGTATATGGAAACTGCTATTTAAAGTACGTTTTCACAAAGTTTGCAAAGCGAATGTACATCACACAACAGAACTCTTCAAAGCAATGATAAAAGTTGTATGGTTCCTGGTGGCAAGAGGTGCTTTTCCTTCGGTTCAGTTCAATACGGCAGCTACTTCGGCCTGACCTCGTTACTCTGCAGTCTCTATGCCTTACTGAAATCATCTATGAAGTAGCTAGAATGCATCCTGCGCTGCTTAATGACTGTGTTTTAGGGCGTCTATCCCATCAGCCCCTTGGTACAAAGACCGGACAGATCTGTCCAAGTGGAGCACTGCATTATAATTTAGTTCCTCTTAGGTTTCCTGCTCTAGCACTTAAGACAAAGTGCCTGCGGCCTCTGAGCTCTCCACGTGCAGACGGAGCGTGCTATTTCCATCCTTTTCCGTCTGCTTTTGCATTATCTGCAGTGTTAAGCAGAAACCAGAGAGCAGATTGACAGACCAAGAGCATGTACGCGACCGCCGCCATCTTCGTCCCCTTTGTCAGAACAGATAAAGAAGCAGTGAAATGCTCCGTGATTCGTCTCTATTTAAACGCGCGGAGTGAAAATACCTCGACATGTGTAAGGCGAGCATGTCTCTCTGTCACACGCCGCTCACGACATCGCTCCCATGCGTTTCTCTTTGTGCAGAGATTAGGCCGTTGCCAGCCTAAATGATTACTTCAGTCAACACGGTACACGCTTGTGACACCGCAGAGCGTCCCTCTAACTGATCTGCTAAATGTCAGCAAACTGCTTTTGAGTGTAATCTTAATTTGACTTGGAATTAGTCTTTTTGCTGTGAAGATCTAATTATTCAGACAATTCTTTGCCTTGTGAGAACTTTGGGAAAAGATCAGCCATGCCACGGCTGATGAGAGAAAGAGAATGAGAGAGCGAGAGAAGCAGAGAGAGAGAGAGAGAAGGAGAGATTACGCGATAGTGAGCGTTCCCAGACGTTGCCCAGAGGCACCTTCAGCTCCTCTCTGAGCTACGCGGACATGAATGGCGAATGACAGAATCCCGTCAAGAGCTCCGCAGTAAGGCACAACGAACCTGTGCAATAACGGCATACCTGAACCGAATGGGATTGGCTTTTGCGCACTCTGGATATAGCCTAGGTGTTAGATGTTAGAGATGGGCAAGAATGTTCACTTCACAATCTAATTTCTTTTAGATGAATGTATAATAATTAGTACACATTATATATAATACTGTACAACTGTACAGTATATGAAATGATAAGGCTAATTTATCTTACTTCACTGATTTATCGGTCAGACAGCTACGACTCACATGCTACATCGGGACTGTTTTGGCTCTGGTTTCAGGTAAAATGTAACTTCTATCCGAAGCCTTAGAGGAAAGTCTCAGGTGACAAAACACTCATGGTGACATGCTCTGGGTTTATATCTTTCGCTGATTTATTATCTAAATATTGTGTTTGCCTGGGTATCGGTAATGTTTTTAATGTCCATGTACGCCAACTTTTACTGAATTTTACTTCGCACCTGTTCGCAAAAAAACAAAAAAAAAACAAAGAGGACATTTTGGTTTATACACACATATGGGTGGGAAAAAAATCACAAAATCTGAATTGTGATTGTATGCCATTGTGTGTGACTGCAAATCGCGCAGGAGTTTGAAATGGCTAAATGAAAACTCTTTGTGAGTTTGGTGTTTAAGTAAATTATCAGATGATCAGGCCGGCAGATTATAGATTATAACTTAAAAAAAACAATAACGTGCGCGTGTTTGTTTGTTTTATTTTGTTTTGGTTTTAAACACACAAGTCCTCACTCGCGCGCTCACACCAGACAGGTAAAAATAATGATGCGCACGTTTCAATCCTCCAGAACCGCACTGCTTGAAATAATTTAGAGAACGATACCTTTCAATATAATAAAGCTCATTTTGACCTGGTGTGGTCGACAGCCTGTGGAACCTTGTTATGGTGCTGAAGTGCACATAACGAGAGTTTAACAATAATATGAAAACCATTATGTGGTATAGTATAAACAGTATTCACATTTTCATTCGATAATTTCATGTCATTTTAATATTTCTTAGCACAATCTAAAACAATAAATATGGATCAGTCTTCTGTAATTGATAAATAACTTAAAACAAAAATATGATTTACTACACATTATTGTCCATACCATTCATAACATAGTTGGCTACGTTATGTTCAGATACATTTAAATGACTTTTAAATGCGCAATATGATTGGCTTACTTATATTTTCTTCTTCAACATTTAATTACAAATGCAAGCACATAAGTTTGCTTCATTGCTTTATCCTGAATTAAACATATAAGTCGCAGTTCAAATTTGGAGAAATGTATTTGAATGACGCTGTGCTTTAATTGCTCTAATTGTTACTCAGTAAAGCGGGATTCCAAATTTTACACAGAGAATGTGGATGCATTATTATTACATTATTATATTTTCATTCATCTCTCTGATTTTACTCACTTACTGTTACGGATTTAATAGTTTTCAAATACCTGTAGTTCGACAACCAATACTACAATAAATGTGTGTCTTCGGAAAAAAAATTTATGCTTTTGAATAACGAATACTCTTATGTATTATATTTCTACTCAGATCTTTTTAGAGCGCAGAAGTCATTTAATAAATGTAACGTTTTAAAATAAATGTATTATTTCTGATTGTGGAGCAATCTTTCCAAATGCTTGTGGAATCGTTGAAGATTATTTGTCTAATATTAAATAAATACATACATAAATAATCAAACAACCTGATGAAAGGGATATATATATAAGAAATGCGCATTTCCCCGGATTTCTTAATTTGCATTTCATCTACAGTTTAAATAGTATATTCAGTATTTCTTAAAAAATCACGTGAGAAAAAAAATCGGATTAAAAATGAAATGAAAAATAAACTTTTTTCTTTGATTTGCTTGAGCAATGCAGGTGTTTAATTGAACAATTTCTGACCACAAAATAATGAAATGTGATTAAGAGACACGGCTCCTGCATGGAAATGATTTAAAAGTTTTATTTTGTAAACATTAAATATTCCTTTCTCATGAAGTTTGATTCGGAACCGAACGAGTTGCAGTATATTTAGTTAAACCATAGAAAAAGGCAGTGATGATCTTCACACACCTACAGGAATAGAAGATGGCAAATAAAATCACATGTAAGACATTAAACAAAGACGACGGTGATGCGTCTGAAATCATTTCAACTGCACCATGCTTTAACGGCAAACTCAAAATAAATATATAAACCTTTATATTAAACAGCAACAATACATACAACACATACAAACGAGGAATGTCTGACAATTTTACAAACACTATGGGTCCCTTTTTCCCTGTACAGATGATACTGTTTTTTATCCACATGTGCCATATTTAAAAGTTGCCCCAATACTACGAATCTTTATAAAATCTAACAGACTACATAGTGTCCGGAATATAGAGTGTGTAATAGAGACAAGAGTCCTCTACGACATGCGTCTCCTTTCCACCTGACAGAGATACACAGGCACAAGTTATAAAAGAAAAAAGGTCTCTGTACAAGCTTTATACACATCATATAAATCACATAAATCTATTGAATAGGTATATAGAAATGGTGTATAGTACAGTCTACTCTGTGATTTCCCATGAATACAGACGTTTGCAGTTAACAATGATTAGTGGTGGCGAGATATTTTCCATTGTTCAAAATCATCAGGCATACTATTGAATAATATGTGTCTTTTATTATAATTTCTCATATTAGTATTACTTTCTTCCCTATTTTTACATTTTTTTTCTCTGTTCTGAGATACTCAGAAGCGGTATTTTTTGGTGGGATAAAGGGGCAAAATAACTAGCCGATGACAAAAGTTATTATTATCATTATGTCGCGTGGTGTTTTCCAGGCTGTGGATTGTTGAATCCTTTTTTTTTTTCGAACGCGCACGTCATTTGGCAATGGTTGGTGGATTTAAAAAAATCAGGCTTTCAGTTTTCAAGAGAGTCAGTGGAAGTTCTCTGAGGTTGTTTGAAATAGTTATTTTTTTCTCCTTTTCTCACGGTTTAAAAGGGCAGAGTGTCAAGAAACAGTTTGTCGATTATTGCTGGCGGTGGGACCAGATCTTCTAGTTTTAGGTAGAAGATGCGCTGCAGACCCTGTGTGCACAGTGTGCGCAGTTCAGGCAGTTTACCCAACAGTTTGGACAAATAGTTTGGACGATTCAAGCCGCCTCCATTGAAGGTGACTTGGTCTTTCAGACAATTTACTATCTTGTTTTGAAGGTCCTCCACTCTCTTGGGTTCTTTCAGTCCATGTCTCTCTGCAAAATAATAATAATAATTCGCATATGATAATATAACATTTAAAAAAAACAGTTGAAATTTTCTAAACAGTGTAATAAAAACTGATCTCACCTGTGACCATGGCTAGGGCGGCGATGCATGAAAAAGCAGATATGTCTAAATTCATGTTCTGGAGATTAGACGAGAACTCCGCTATAGAGTCGATCCACTCGCCAAATCCACGGACGCACTGCAGCCTGTGCAGCACCACTCCGTTACAGAAGATGAGTTTGCCTTCCATCGGGTTGGACCTGAGATTAATGACAAAGTACCCGTTAATTACCGTGCGCATTAAACGGGGATTTAAGCGGCTCCTAATTATTGCAGAGCCAATTAAAAAGGAAGCAGCAAAGCCACCACTCCAGAGGCCTCGGTACCTGTACGCCAGGCGCAGCACGAAGAGCTCCAGGAAGGCAGACTCGAACAGCAAGTCCTGGTCCGGTTTAGGCAGGTCGGTGAACCCGGGAATCTTTTCTGCCCATCCGCGGATGATCTCCATGGATCCGGTGAGGAGGTCGTAGAACTGCTGGATGTGCTGTGTGTCATCTCCGCTCAGTTGGTAGTCCGGGTTGGCTTGGAACTGGAATTTAATTTAAACATGACTTAATGAGCTCCCTTAAAATATATAACCCGTGAAATTGCAAAGCCCATTTCTTGAAGGGGGAGAGTTTCCCCCCTCTTTAATTTAACTTGTGTCTGTATTTCACTGGCTTCTTTCTTGCAAAAGCAATTTAGAGAGTAAAATATGCCACCCTTAAAGTGCTGAAAGTTTATAATGAAACACTGTATGATATTAAATTTATAATATTGGTTGGCGCAGGAAGCGCATCAAGAGTCACGTGCGCATTTTGACTTTCTTCTTTTAAAGCCTAAAGTGATGAGTAAAATTATAGATGAATGGAGCATAACGCACTCTGGTGTAGTCGAGACTGCTCATAGAGGGGTTGGAGTCCACATGAGCCCTGACCAGAGCGCTGATCAAACTGACGGGCGGAGAGGGGGGCGAAGACTCCTGCGGACTTTTGGGTTTGGAGGGTAAACGGCCTCGCCGACCCTTTAAGTTGGCGGTCCGGACAACTGTCAAAACAATACAAGACTGTTATTATCAAGTGGCTGTTATGCTCGTTGTAACATGTATATACAATTCAGTCAGCGATGACTATAATTGCAGTTGCGCGCTTCTCTTTATTCCAAGTGCGACGCACATTATAACGAGCAGCACTTATGAGACGCACAGACGTGTGTACAAAAGCGATTTACCTTCTTTCACCATTCCGACCACCATGCACTTCTGAAATCGAGCGCATCTGACAGCTGGAAACAGGGGTTCCGGGTGGAGACTGCTTGAAGGAGAAGAGGGAGAGCCTGGACACGGGGTTTTTGCGCTGATCTATCATATGTGAGGTCATATAGGTCTGATGAAAAGTGTGCAGGGAGCTCGGGTCCTCCCACATATGATTGGGCTGAACCTGGAAGTTCGCCGTTCCCGGGGCGTGAGGTGAGGACGGTTTGAAGTACATAGGCCCGGAGTGGGCCATCATCTCCTCTGACTGCGGGCCCAAATGGCTCTGCTGATGGTATGTGTGCATCTGGACGTCCTCCACTTTGATGGAGGACTGTTCTCCAGAATGGGGCACCTGGTAAAGACAAGGCGGCTTCACGTCATAACCGGTGTTGTAGTTGTCCATGAAGGTGCTGAAGCTTGGCAGAGAGGTAGTGGCGGCGGTGATCTCGGTATTGGTCAAGTCCATGCTGAACTTCACAAACTCTGGCGTGAGGAAATCGCAGCTGTATTCTCCGCTGGTGTGGTAACTGTAGCTCTGAGACGCAGGACTCGCGCCCTGCGGGGATGAGCCATACTGAGCCTGGACGCAGGGCATGGCTACAAAGACACAGCAATCAATAAAAAAAACCAGAAAGACAACCTGGAAATAATAGCCGCATGCTCATCAAAACATGTTTTGGCACTAGTTTCAGCTTGCATGCAACTTTGCAAAATGTAGCTACTTTTAGCTATTTAATATATATACATATGTATATATATATATACTTTTTTTCTGCTGAAGTAGCCTACCTTCAGTCGTGAGACTGTTCCTCTGCAGATCGCGGTGAAGGTGATAATATCAGGTGAAATTTAATACCGGGGTTCAAGACAAACTGGATTCTCCCTCTGATAAAACACACAACTTTCACTTGATTTTGCATCACATTTTATTAGCCCTATTACATAACTACACACAATTCTAGAGCTCACTTAAACTCAGAAATTTTAAACACACTTTCTAGCGCAGCGCCGTATCAGAACATGTGCGTGATGGGGCGAAAGTTTAAGGATTTGCGCGCCACGTTTGTTTATTTGTTTTAACTCTCGAGTTTAATTCTCTTAATAAATGCATGTCTGAGCAAACACAATTTCACACAAGTGTCTCATACTACGACTGGATAAAAGCTCATTTCACAATTCAGCTCTTCGGAAAAACAGCAAATCAATTTCTATAAAACCAGCAGAAATCAACAAACAACATTCAAAGACTGTTTAAAACAAACATGCCATATGATTATTTTTGCTCTGCTAATTGAAAATGCATATTTGCCCAAACAGACAAAGAATAAAAAGAAAGGCAATGACATACCTTAGTAGACCATCAGTAAAACTATAGTGTATCCATAAGCATGTGATTCAGAATGTGTGTAAACGTCCAGTACGGCGTGTGGTTCGCAGGGTGCGGAGCTCAACACTGGCATGTAGAGCTCTGTCTGCCAATGTGTCTTTGTTTATGTGAGACCCACGTGTTTGAGTTCAGTACGTCATCTGCGTCACATGTGAGTAGAACCAATCAGCTGCGAGACTCTTCTGCCAATCTGAGGGCTGACTGACAGCCGGTGCATGACTGTGATTTCACCGAGATCTGCTGTAGTTTATAGTCCCCATCGTCGAATAGCAATTTACCTCTCTTTTATCATATATTTCAGTGTGCACACTGCATTTTATACATTCACATGTTAGGAAATTACAAGTTGAAATTTCACATTAAACACCGATTTTTAGGAAACAATAATGGAATTATAAATATTTATTTCCTTCTCATTCTAATAAAACTGTTTTTTTTTTTTTTTGGTAAAGCTAGTTATTCTAATCCTAAACAACAAGTAATATGGGTTGGAATCCAAGAGCTATTGGTCATTGTATTGTAAACTGCAAAACAGCATTAGAAATGAAATAATAAATAAACTGATAAAAGCTATAATTCAACAAAGATGACTTTGAGCAGGCCCTGCTGGCCATATTTTTGACAAAACTCAACACAGCTAAGCTTTTATTAAACAAGAGCTTTGCTTTTAAGAAACCATGAAGAATATTTAACCCTTTGCATCTATTTGTAGGAGACTACAGTCATTAGAAGAGGGCAGAGGAGGGGATTCTCGCAGTCATTTCAATTCAAATGTAAAAAGACAGAGAAATTCATCAGGAACTGGCAAAAGAAAAGAAGAAATGTGATGCAGACAACAGCTCTGCTGCAGACCGTGAAGAGGCTAGAAACAGAGGTCACTTCCCCTCAAACAGTCTTTGCCATGTTGAATCTGAATGGGTGGGTGTTCATGTTATTTGAGACAGGTCTCACCATCTCAACCATCATGGGAACACATTAGTTTCCACAAACTAAATCCTGCATCTCTCAGCCACCATAAACTATTCCATGGACTTATGGGTAAAACCACAGTATGTAAACATAAATAAATAAATAAATAATAAAAAAAAAACATTGCTTAGTCCCTTTTCTATGTAAACAAATATGAAATTAAAGTTTATGAGGTTTTCTTAATAAAGCTTCCAAAACTGAACTAAACCACTGTTTGTTTGTTTGTTTTTTTCCAAATGGGGGTGGCAGTCTCCTCTAGAGGACACTGTTGTTCACCACCCACTGGACAATAGTTTTGGATTATTGTTTTATATGTTGTTATAATGTAAAGCAAATACAGTGATGATCTATGTATTTCAGCCTAATACAGAACAAATTAGATGTCGATAAGCCACAGACACTGCAATTTAGCCATTCAAGGCTGACATGTGAGGACAAAACTATCCCATGACGTCCATGATGTCTAATTTAAAGAGTATGTCCAAAACTGTCAGTCATGTTCCACATAGCAAATGACAGGCCAGCCATGTGCTCAACACCCGATTGGGTTTATTGCTTTATCTAATGTATTATATCCACAATATGGTCTGCTTTCATTTACCTTTTTAATGAAGGGAAATTACATACAATTAAGCAATAATTGCCCATTGGCTCATTTAATTACTAACTGCCTTATATATATGCATAGTTTAATCACTGCTCATGGGGAAGAAGAGGCAGCAAATGAAGAGCAATCAAATTGGACTGAAGTTATTTCCCAATTATGACACGTTGAAGAATGTGCGCATGTGTGTGTGTGTGTGTGTGTGTGTGTGTGTGTGTGTTGTGTATGTGGAGGAAAGAGTTATGCATAAAGCTATCCTTACTGACATAATTAACATCCAACATGAAATTAACTTTTCTTTAACAAGTACAAATATCAAGAACACAAACATAAATCACAAATGCACTGCCAATCCTAATGCTTTCTGCAGGGTGTACCGTTCTTGACAGGAGCTGTTTATTCAGCACTTGTGCTTGAATATTGAGACAGGTGAAGCACCATGGACAGCGCCAGCGGTGTTTATTACATTTCTCATGTTGGGCAGTCTTATGTCAGTGTATAAAATCTAAGCTCTCTCTGAGTCATTGTGACTTAAACATTTTTGAATAGTTTCCCTTATGCAAAATACAGTGTATTGATGAATATGAAGAGTTTGCTGCCAAACTAACTGAGACAGGGAACATCCCCTGAGGCAGCCATTACTTATCTTTACAGATACAAACAGGATTTACTCCTAAACATTTTATTAATTCTTTAAAGCTGCTGTACTGTGTAGCATAATTTTCTCAGTTTTTTTCCTGAGATTGCAGTATAACCTGACTACCAGCACCAGATGTCTATCAGCATCTCAGTATAATGGAATTTGACAGTGTGTATTCTGTTGGCTTGAACACCGGGGTATAGTACATTAACGGGCGATATTCAAATGCACTTTCTCAAATAATTTATGTTTTTGAGTGAGATAGATTTGTCTTATCATTTCATGTTCCTGCAGGCACCTATGTGCTAAGTATGACATAAACCAACTCTAATTGGAAATGTTTACTGACAGAAGGCTGTAGACTTTTTAACAGACATTTGAAGTTGAGTGACCACTGTGACATAACAGCCTGATATTATCAAGCAGAGTAGACTCATTGTCCAACCTAGACATTGTCTCCCCTTACAAGCTTCCTCTTACAGAGCCTATTTAGATAATGATCATATGTGTCCAGCTCTCTCCCTATGAGATAAGCAGCATTCATTTGGTGTCATTGGCCAACAGATGACTTTATGATTTTTAAAACATCACTCCACACTTGATGGGATTTAGCTTGATTTAGAGATGATGAAATCTCTCCAATTTTCACGCAGGTTCAAAAAAGGTCAGATGTTGTTGATTGCATGATCTAATTCCTCGGTAGATTCATCAAAAAAAAAATCCATATTTCTTGCAGTCTTAAAGCACCCCTTTCGCTCAAGGCACTGGTCTATGTCTTTTTTCCAATTTAAGATTCCTTCTTTTCAGGACTAAATGTCTACTTAATATGCTTTAATGTGAGTTCCATGGAACAAGGGAGTGCTCCATCATTTTAATGCACTTTTATATAACACACATTTAACTATTTAACCCTAATGAAACAGCTTGTAATGCAGCTGGACGACTCCTCTGTGCTGTGATGAAGGTCCCTTCTCTTCTACCTCAGTAAAACTGTAAAACGAGACGTGGCTGTGGTGAGCATGAAGATCAGTCAGTGTTGCATATTCATGAATCAGTGTCATGACATGCCTTGTAATTGGCAGTAACATTAGTAATGAGTCTGTCGGCATCTTGTGAGTTCTTGCATATTCATGCCATGGGGCAATATATCCTAGTTGAGGAATTTTTTTTTTTTTTGGATTTGGATTTGACATTGGCATAGGCTTTTCTTCTCCACTTATTGTGTGAAAATGAATTCTCAAGCTGCAGGTGGGCTCTTATGCCACAATCAATTGTTTAAATTGTCCTTCAGAAAAAAATCACTGTCAGTCAGAAAGAAGATGAATAGTGCTGCTAGTTAGTCTAATTAATTACCCTCCAGCTTCTGCAAAGTCATTTTAGCAAATATGTGTTCATATGTTTGGTTAATTATATCAATTTAGTTTCCTATCTATCTATCTATCTATCTATCTATCTATCTATCTATCTATCTATCTATCTATCTATCTATCTATCTATCTATTTTTTTATTTAATCATGTATTTATTTATTACAGATTAGGGATTTACTTCTATTGTGTTCATTATATCAACTTATTAACTTAAGAACTCTAAATATAGAGCTGTACAAGTAATATGACAGCAAATTTCAAATTAAAAGAATTTGATGAAAAATACTTGAATTCATTAAATATCTTTTGTTTGCACACTATATCTTGGCAATTCTAAGCATATTTTTTAAAGATCCCTTCCGAAAATCTAAAGAAGTTGTAAAATTGGGGTCTTTTTGAGGGGGGGAAAATCCGAGAAGCTCTGAGATTTTATTTCCCATTAAAATTATATGAGATATTAAACAGATCTTTTTATTACCTTATTTTTTTACCCCCTATGAGGTGGCACATGGGTGCCGACGGTGATGATTGCAATCACATTCATTTGGATTCATTTGCGTTTCCTGAATGTCAGTTTTAAGTTATAGCATATAAATAAAAAACGAAAAGCAGTACAATTCAGTAATATAAAACATTAGCATTCACTTTCTTTATCTGATGTGTGTTCTAAATAATGAATGTGAGGCTCATCTGTTCAAATGAGTGTAGATTCTATGAATGTCTAAACAGTAAAACACAATATGTTTACTCCTTTAATGCTCAGTTAAAGAGAAAATTCAAGCAGAGGATTGTGGAGAACAGTAAAATCACACTATTTTGGTAAGCAATGTCATATGCATGTGGCATGCATATTTGTGATTAATCATGCTGGACACTCGTTAGGAGTGGGGGAAGTAAATAAATTAGCATGTGATTGATCATTCTTTATTTCTTTCTGCTGTCACTTTTTTTTTTCTCTGTCCTTCTGCAGAAAATACATGATTTGTGTTTTGTTGAATCCATCATATAGAGTATGAAGACTTGCATAGTAATGAAACACATTTATAAATGAATAGTGTCCCCTGAAGTCATGTGACAGTGAAATTAATGGCTAGTTGGTGTGTATGTGTTTGTGAGAATGGCCACCGTCCCATGAGGGGCAGCACGCTGTGCTACGTAACACACAGAGGAATCTGTGGCCAGCCTACTGGATGAAGATACGCCTCTGATGCTGTCACATACAGTTTGCTTGGTGTTTTTGTTTGTTTTAAGGGGTTTTGCTTTAGGAAATTATGCTAACTACTCATAAAAGTCTTTGGAGCGTTCTTGTGAGGAATAAAGGCCTATGCATGAGCGTTGGCCCATTGTGATTTTTGTCAAACATTTTCTGTACAGATAATGGCACAACACAGGAAAGAGATTGGACATACTGTAATAAAAGAGCCTGTAACTGTAAAAATGAAAAGATACACTGGGCTCCTTAGGTTGACTGAGTGGCGGAACCCTTTGGAAAAACTCTGTGTACAGTAAT